AATGCTGATGTGGAGACACTGCCAGAGAATTATGTGTGCTGGTATGTTACATATTCTATTGATTCATTGACGTACTATTAGAGTTTACAGTTACTGCAGATAGAACCATTGAAATGGTAAACTGCACTACTTCACTGTTTGAATAAAGCCAACAGTGTTGCGTTCTTACTTCACAACAAATCGACTCAATGTTATAATTTACATAATTCCTTCCATGCTCAACAAACAACTGAAATGAAAGAATTTTGTATTTTTAGTTCCTTTTTTCTCTTCATTAATTTACATATTTACATATTTAAATTATAATTTACATAATTCCTTAAATGCTCAACAAACAACTGAAATGAAAGAATTTTGTATTTTTAGTTCCTTTTTTCTCTTCATTAAATATTATGTTTTACTATGGTACATATTACATAGTACCCCCTGGGTCAAATGTTATTTAGATTTAGATTGTTAGGAATATGTACGTTAAGAGGAATAACTTTTTTGTAACCGCTAGTCTAAATATCTCAGACTGTTCCAATTATAGCAGCATGATTACATATCTAATACAAGTGTTAGTACCCTCACTAAACATTCAAGGTATATTTATATACCTTTACTCTATATATACAGGTGCAGACAGTGTTAGCCTCTGCCATCAATCAGCATTTAGAAATAGATACCACACTCACAAAAACAGAATTATTTCCACATTAAGGTCTACTCTATAGAGTTACCACTATGAACAAACTATAATGAAAGCTAAAGTATATAGATTTCTCTTTTGATAGTAAGTTCTTCCATATATTTCAATACAAAAGGGGGGGGGGGGCGGGGGACACTAGTATTACAGGTGTCCTGTTGATCTTTACCATTCCAATCTTTTCATAGTCCTTTCATGAATTATGTTGTTATCATGGTTGTTTAATATATTTGCATGGAGAGTTTTGGGGAGGCTACTAGAAATAGCATTTTATGGCAAAGGTGACAGAAGCACTTATCTGACCCAAAATAAAATAAAATTTCCAAAAATCATGACCCTGAGGGCTGAGGCTGAGTCAGGGCTAATTGATTCATATAGAAGTAACTGGTTCGGGTAAGGGTTAGAGTTAAAACCTATGACTGAAACATCAGTCCCACAAGACCCCTTTGGCCTGTTCCTTAATCCACCCATAAGTACTAGAGAACTGTATCCTTGAAATGTACCTGTTAGCAGAAGTTTGTAGACCTGATTACCATCTCAATTTTACATCAGCAATAATTAAATATAAACAAAAGTTGTTTTAACATCTACACCTTTTGTCGTATATAGAATAAAAATTGAAAAAAATTTAAAAGCAATTTTAAATGTATCTTTTTTTTGAAAAACATAAACAGACATCAAATTTAGACCAATCAAGCTCCAAAATTCTGTTTCTTGTAACCCCACCTATAACTCGATATCGCAATGACCTTGCTATCAATCCTTTCAGCGCTGATGTGGTTTGGCTGGAAGAATGAGTTGAAGCATAAAAACTTCACAAATAGTAAATGGCTGAATACCAGACGCTATTAAACCTGTGTTCTTCTTTGTGGCTATAACTTATAGATTGTCTGAAATTGTGTTATTTCCATTTCCTTTAAATTATTAAGGAAAATATATTAACCTTACATGCCAGACTGTTATAAATGAATAGACATATCTTATACTTCATTTGTAATTGATTATTGATTAGAAATGAAATTCGTGACTGATTATCAATTAGAAATCAAATTTGTAATTTGATTATCAACATAAAATCAAATGAATTGACAGCTCTTTAAGTCGAGCTGTATTTCTGTCTGGTTTCTTCAAATTATTCAGTTATTTATTTACATTTGAGACAAAACAGAAATTTAAAAAACCAAAGCAACCTGAAGATGTTGTCAGTAGTTCTGATGTCATTGTCTATTCAGTTAAGAAAGTTGAATTCAGCTGCTGTCTTGGCAAAGTCACTGATGACTCAGTGAGTAAGGCACTGGTACATTAAACAGAAGGTCCTGTGGTCAATCCTGGTATTGCTTGAGAAAGTTTCCCAGGATTTTTACAGGGTGCTTTCCACTTGTCATGGGTGTAAGACGCGGCCCTGCCAAGGACATTGTCTAGTCGTTCAATATACATTTTGTTTCGGCGTACACATAAAAGATCCCTTGACCTGCACTGTACATAGTCAGTGAAACCTAAACCTTGTGTTTTTGTCATAAAATGACAATCACCATTTCAATGTGTTGACAAAATGTAGAAAGCCAACTGTGTTTTATATTATATATTTTAGCACTAACACATGAATGATTTTACTTTTATATTACATGATGATGCTCCATTATTTTAGTGAAAATTAAAAATAGATTTAAGGTGAATAACTTTGCCAGAACCACCTCCTAATGGCTTTAACCAGATATAATTTGATTAGGGAATTGGGTTTGGTCTTAATTCAAAATTATTGTGTCTGCTGTCTACCGATTGCTTTGAGATTGTAAGAGTGTGATTTTGAGTGATAAAGGTTCTGGTTTTTAAAGCATTTCAGTGTATTATTAACCTTTTAATTTCTCCATTGAACATAATCTTGTATCTGAATTTTTTCTCTGGATGTTAAAATACCTCAGATTCTAAGGCATACATGAAACAAAATTATTACCTAACACAGATCTATTGTCAAATGTCAAGTGTCGACCTTTTGTGTAGAAGATAGCAATAAGAATAGCCTACATATCTTATTGACTGCCTTGTGACAACATAAATTACAGTATTTTCGTCCATTGATCAGTTGTGACTATATGAAACACGAAACTATGTGATTTCATGTCACAATATAATTTTCTCTTACATTTCTACACAATACATATTGTATGTCACAAAATAATTATCTTTTACAATTTTACACAATACATATTTTACTGGCTATTCACAAAATAACTCTTTAATTACAAGGGGTTGCACACTTAATCTCTAAGAGGTGATACCAGTGGCATGCATATTTAAAATGTCTTCCTTTCTCACATTTCTCAGTACTAGGCCCTATATACTTGAGTATTAGAGCATGCAAGAAGGATTCGGACCCAGGCACCTAAAACCTCTGCATGGCACTGGATAATACGCCTGTCTTTCGGTGCCAAAGCTGGTTCCATAAGCTCCCTATGCGCTCCTTACTTTGCCTAATTGAGCTACTTTATTTTGATTACATACAACTGCTTGGTTACTGGTACATTGAAAATGGTAAAATATGGCTGACTATATATTAATAATCAGATGTGAATTTTATTACATGCAATAAAATTAAAAAGGCCTTAGATGATTTACCGTAGTTTTTGAAAATTCTATGATTATCAATTACATTTTTAAGTTAAAACTGGCTTTGTATATGAATACCAATGATCTGATAATTCTATATTATAGACTGTTTTAGCACTCAAAATTTTATATTATATAATCTCTAAATGTCAAGTTATCAGACAGTCAATAATGTTTTCATCATTTCTCCTTCAGTCGGGACCTTGAGTATTGATTCTGGAAATATAATTATATATCATAATATTCTCCAACTTCTAAAGATTGATTAAATGCTTTTAAGAAAGTTACAACGACAAATGATTTTGTGACATATTTATTGCGATGTATTCCAATCATGATAAGATTTGTGTGGGTGCCTAAGCCTGATTACTGATAATGGTATACTTAATCTAGGGCTTATTTATTTCTAAGCTATTAAACATGATCTATTCACGACTTAGTTTTTGCCTTAATCACATTGTTATGGGGTTATACTTTACATGTAATATTATGTGAGAGAACCTCTATTAAAATACATTAAGTCTTTATTATGTAGATGAGACACATGGTGATTTTGTCAGGATATTCTAGGGGAAACTGACAATCTTGAATGTTTAAGAAGGATCATTCTTCAGGTGACAACAAACATTTAACCCTCCCTATATCAGGTCAAATTTTGATGGAGATGAATTGAGATAGTTTTATTAATGTTCATTACTTTGATCTTGTATGCTTGTAAATTACTCATATTCTGAGACGCAGTGAAAACCCAGTACTTTCATAACTGGATGATTGAAAATCTCGTTTTAGAGATACATTTTAATCTTGCAACTGAATGTAACAACATCAGATCAAGATAACATGTGAGAATGATGTTTTGATGATGGAATAAACGCACCACAGATCAATTCTCTCAAACATTCGACAGAATGAAGATGTTGAAAATCACGGTTTTATATTGCAAGCCAAGCATGGGGTATAAAATGTGACTTTTAAAACGTCAGGATCTGTACACAACTCTTTCAGTTCTGTGGAATACACAATATGCCCTGCTTTACACTTGTCAGTGCATTAATGACCAGAGCTGTCGCCCAAAGCTTTGCGTACCATCACACTACCATTCTGAGACTGACAGATCACTTCTAGCATACGGGGTCCAATAGTGATAGCCCAAGGCCTGGATGGCAACACATGACAGCGACTCCGCACATTATCTACCAAAACATGCAGGATTGCATGTTGCCAGCATCCTGTACTTCTGCGAAGGTGAGGGGTCCAAATGCTGACACCCTTTGTCACTGACTATGCTTTGCTTGACTGCGTGCCAGACGGCTTTGATACAATGATTTTGAAGATAACCTGGAGCAGATTTTAAAGTTAATTCTTTCTCGAACACAAACCTGATGTAAATGCAATCTTGATTTAGTTTTAGTGACAATATAAGCTGCATGATTTTGTATTCTTTGCGACTTTGAAACTGGTTCATCAGTAATACCAGGAAAGTAAAGAATCACACAATGATTTAGTTGATTCTGGACAAAGGATCCTTTATAGATGGTAATATTTTACAGAAGTTCACATGAGAGTCCAAGTGAGGTCATTTAGAAGTCTCATGATCATAGTGTTCTTGAAATTTCCCACTCAAATTATCATGTGGAACCTTCAAAATAACCAATTTCGTTTCAATTATGATGCATGTTTCTAATATAATTTTTTTTTTTTTCAGCATTCCATCTATACAAGACGCTGTCAGCCAACATCCCTGAGAGCTGTCTTTTGATAACACTGGGTGTATGTACTGGTGCTGTTCTCCATTATAGTAAAGCAGCATCTACCGACCAGTATGTCCTGAATGCTGACACATTCTTTTTGTTTCTCTTGCCTCCCATCATCTTTGATGCTGGCTATCACATGCCCAATAGAGCTTTCTTCAATAACCTTGGAACTATCCTGCTTCTGGCTGTGGTCAACACATTATGGAATACAGTAGCCATTGGTTTAAGTTTATGGGGAATGTCTTATATTGGATGGATAGAGAGAGATATAAGCTGGCTTCATTGTTTTTTATTTAGTGCTCTTATATCAGCTGTTGACCCTGTTGCTGTTCTAGCCATCTTTGAAGAAATCCATGTCAATGAGATGTTATACATCATTGTTTTTGGAGAATCGTTACTTAATGATGGAGTAACAGTGGTAAGTAATATTTAGTGATACATAACGCCAGTAACAAATATCTTATCATCAACATTCAAAATAGAAATCTTTTCTGCGAAAGCTATTTATTAAAAAAAAATCTGACAACAAATCTCTGTTATTAAAAAAGCACTCCCTTTTAAAAAAAAAAATTACTGCATGATCTTAGGGCATAAATATTAGAGTATTAACACATTTATTTTCTATTTGTTTGGTCAGTTATTATCATTTGTCTGCATTTTAGTAATACTTCTGTATGTGGTACCATGTTGGAAATGAGTTAATCTTCCAGATTTATTATCATATTAACTGTCGGTTATTGGATATGTCTTATGTAATTTATGCCAGTTATATTCCTAGAACTAATCCTTAAAATCTTTTTAAATGGTATAATTTGAGCAATATTAAACTTTCACAATACAGGTCATAGTTTTGAGATAGGTGCTGCAGCTGAAAAGTAGAGCCAATAAAATGATGGCGTCTTGAGAAATCTTAGATGACTTAGCTGCTGGTGGCATATCTTTCGTTGGCAGGCAACCTATGTTTACATCATTTATAAAAGTAGAACCTGTATAAGATTTAAGCCATTCAATAGTTGTCTAGAGATATCAACATTTTTAGAAATTTGGTTGTCGATACCAGTATTAACATATTTTCTAGACACAACTTATTGAATGATCCTTTGATGTATGCTGTTAGTTGAGAAAAAGCTAAACTTATGATTATGTTATAATGCAATAGAAATTAGACAAAATAGTGAACAAATTAAATATGGAATTTTTGTTTATTTATTTTTTATCGAAAATATTCAAGTTTAGTATATATAAAATCTTATTTGAAAATCCTGTACCGGTATCTGGATAGTAAAATCAAAAATTATTCCAGAGCCATATATAATGCCTCTGTAAACCTTTTCTAATAAATCCAAAGTATTTTACAAAATTTGGCTCTAACTAATACCAAAATCATAAGTGTTACATGTGTGAATACAAGGATAATTTTGAACACTGTCATGTGATTCACCTGTGCTAACTTTAAATTACTTTTACATATTATTTATCATGAAGATATATTGTTCATTAGCTTTTTATACTAAGATTGGCTAGTCTTTACTGGATCAAGATTTCAAATTTATTATCCATATGTCTAAAGGTCTATGCAACCTCAGTGGCATAGGCGTACGAGCTGGGGGGGCGGCCGCCCCCCCATTTGGGGCACCAAATGCTGGGAAAATTTGGGCACACAATTGTACTTTGTAAAAGTTGTATAAAAAAAATATTGTCTTCTTGAATGTGTCCAATTTAACAGCGAATTTATTATTATTATGTAACATAATAAGAACCTAACTACATTTTATGGGCACCAACCACCACCGCCCCCCCCCCCCCCCAGTCAAAAAATTTTCCCGTACGCCTATGCTCAGTGGCGGATCTAAATTTCTTTTCAAAAGTGCTCAATTGTTAAATTGATAAATTGATACACACATTGGCCTATTATTCAGATGAGAATATGCGATATCATAAGTCATACATTGTCTATTTTTCACAAAGTAAAATTCGGTCTAGACTATACAAAGATGAATTGCAGTGCAGATACAAGTATTAGAAAGAACGTGAAATACCTGTTTCTCAATCAATTAGTCTCTTTTGATTTTGATGCAGGGGAGGATCTTGCGTACCTATTATCTGCATTTGTAATATATGTATGAAATTTTATGATGCTTGATTATGGCATTGAAGTCCCACACAGATCAACTCCAGGACAGTTTTATAAACAGAGTTGCTTGCCCTTAGGTGCCACAATAACAAAATCACTTTGTTACCAGATTTGACAAGCAAGTGGTAATGTCATTGATATTGATAAAAAATAAAGACAAGAATCATAGCCGCAGGATTAAAATACGATCATGAAACAGATGAGGACAATCTAAAATAGATAGCCTACATTAATTTTTGTTATCGTCCCTGCCTTTGGGAAAAAGTAGGGGTTTATCAAAATGGGTTTGTCCATCCATCTGTTTGTCTTATATCACACTTTTTAGAACACAATAACTCTGCTTCTAATTGAGGTAGAATATTAAAATTTAGTGTAGATTTTCAGTAGGTGAACATTTTGATTATGAGCAGAGAAAGGCGATTTATTAGTATGATTATGAGCAGAGAAAGGCAATTTATTTGTCAATGTTTTTTAAACACCATAACTCTTGACTACATTTGCATCCAACAAATTATCATATCGCTGTATCGTGATCTATTTGGCAGAACGGCCATCCATAGAACAGTCACCATCTTTCTCCTTCCTCAAGAAAGAATAATAAATTTATCTAATCTCCCATAATGTATCTTTAATAATTATTTGTTGAAAATAATTACCTTAAAACCCCTCAACATTTGATTGAAATTATATCAAGGTTCTTTAATAACTGAAGACTAATTATTTTAATCATTTCCAGTTGGATGTTCTAATTAGTAGGGTAGCTAGACCCCCTTTTTGGCTTTATTTTCCTCTTATTATAATCTTCACAGTTACCAAGAACAGATTTTTTCCTATGATTTATAATTTACCGTCCCAAAATTCATAAATAGCTTCGTCCAAACATGTATACATGTAACATTGCTATCAGGTCTCCATGAAATAGATGAAGAGAAGTAAGGTTGCATTATCCTTACTTAAAATAAGTCACATGGGCAATAATAATTCAATCTTAAACACCCAGCCTGGTCTTTAGAGTGCATATGTTTGAATAACAGGGACAATAACAAAGGGAATACTGCATATGTTTATCAGATTTTTGTTAGGTTTCTTCTATTTTACGATCTCAACAATTCCACCAATATTCAAAAATATTCAAAAAATCTCTAAAACTGATCTCGGAGTGTTTACAAAGTTTTGATGACTCTACTACATATCAGTGTGTTACTTTTAATTTTGTTAAGTCATTAGCCAAACATTCCTAGAGTGTTTACAATGAGGACAGTAAAAGAAGGAATGACAATAAAATCATGATCCTTAAGTATTAGATAAATAATGTGCAATTCCAAAGATAATTATGTACAAATAAAGTTAAAATTTGAATCTACAAAAGCTAACAATTACTTAATGGTAAAAATAGTCAGTGTTGTCGGTCCGGCATACACAATTGCTTTCGGACACTCTAGAGGCTAAAGTTAACATCCGATTGACTTTAGATTTATACACAGCGTTTAAGGTCATGAAACCAAGAAGCCCATTGATTTTCAACGATTTCCGATAATTACTGCCAGAGGTATGACCCTTGATCACTTTGAACAATCTTGTGGACGCTCTAGAGGCTAAAGTTAATATCCGATTGACTTTAAATATATTTGATTGGCCAAGACAAAGTGATGCAACTAGATGTATACACATGTAGTTTTATTATGGTTCATCAATAACTTGATAACTTCTGCCTCTTGGGTGTAGTGGAATGCCTTGACAGTATTTGATGATCATAATTTTCTGCAATGACGCTAAGCAGAGATAAACATTTTTATTGTTCATGATTTTGGGATACATTAACCCTGTTTCTAATTGAAGTAGAATATTCAAACTTGATGTAGATGTACATTAGTTCCACACAATACAAACACACTACGTGACGCAGAATGTTCAAACCTGGCGAATATCTTGACTGAGATCGATGATGAGTATTTTCTGTTAAGACGAAGCTGCAGTTCAACTGGCTGTATATTTGTCACACTTTTTGAAATACAATAAGTCTGCATCTACTTCAGGTAGAATGTTGAAATGTGGTGTAGATGTTCATTATATTAATGTTGTGACAGACATTGATCATGGTTATTCAAGACTTAGAACACAACTACTCTGCTTCTTATTGATGGGGAGTGGTGAAACTATGTGGAGGCTGTAGTTTCATTACATCAATACCTTGACTAAAGGTTGTTAATGAAAATTTCCTGCTCAGGTTCATCAGAGAAATAAAGCAATTTGATTACCAGATGCTTTGTAAAAAGATAAATGTGCATGTATTTTGAGATTGAGGCATCAGCCTTGCAGTTGACTTGTTAGTTATCGATACTAAATTATAACTTTACAATGGTAAAATATGTTGAATGTGTTTAGGCTACTTTATTAATATTCTGATTTTCTTTATTGATTTACCTCAAGATTATTGACAATTATGTAGACTTATCATGGTAGATAATTTGGTCTGTTATATATCTCAAATAAGAATTAGCACATATTACAAGCTGGGTAACCAACAATTTCTTGGCTGGGAATCTGAGTTATATATATGCTGGTATATAAGGAAATTAAGTTATTATGTTTGATCTTAAAAGGTTGTTATTTGTCAGTTAATTTCTCCTAAAACACATAATGGTTAGGTCAGATTTCTAAGATGATGAAAAAATGATTCAGATATCAATATTGTATTTTAAAGTGGGAGTATATTGTTTTTTGGATTGCTATGTTTGGGACTGGTGACATTTTCTTGTGAAAGCTCTGGGGAAATTTCAACTTAGATTGTTTTCCTTGAACACTTAACTTGTCATTTTATGCCAAGAATTATTTCAGTTTTCTGATAACAAAAATAGGACATTTTGCTATATTTATAAGAAGACTAATCCTCAACATTATATATAGGCATCACAAAATTTAAGGTTTTAAGAGTTTTATGTTCCTTCCAGTGTGAATTCCCCTTTGCGAGTGGTTCAGGACAGAAGACCTGGCAAGAAAAAACCAATTAATTCAGTTGGTGTCTGGGCAAAATTTCCCTTATAGTACACTATATAATAGATGTACAGTATGCCCCTCTCTAAGCCAAATTCATTCATTTATCAGTTATGTTTGTTTTAAGTTTTGCCTTTTTATACGCCCACATTTTCACACGCCAGATTGTACGAAAAATCACGTTTTTAGCTTGTGGACGCTCTAGAGGTCACAATTTTCATCTGATTTTTATGAAACTTGAAATGCATGTTTTTAGCTTGTGGTCCCTCTAGAGGTCATAATTTATATTT